AGTTGGATTTAACTTCACCCCATTTACCTATATGTAAATGACTCAGCTCACCGATGGAAGGTAGCCACAAAACATTAAACCCATGAAGGTTTTGCAAGGTTCTTATTAGACCTACAGCAATAATTTAAGTGTTAACAAAGAATAATAAGAAGTCTAAAAAGTGAACTGTTATGCAAATCAAGAAAGCAGCTCATCTTTATACCAGTGGTTTTATCCTCAAAAGATTCTTAAAGTTACACTTCACTCATTTACTTAGAAAGTAAATTAGCACCCTTAGAACTTACTACCCATTTGCCAATGTAAGGTAAATATAGCTGCTTAGTCTTATTATGCTTCAACAGTTCATATTTAGTGCTCTAGCCAGAGCTCAGAGCAGTAACAGACCTGCTTAAGAGTTAGCAAAACAAAAATTCAGAGGCTATCAGATGAGCAAAATGAAAAAAAATAAAAGTGCATCACTGCCGGAGGCTTCCATTGCTTAGTCACTCTTGGCATAGTGAAACACCAGAAACGCTTCAACTATTTCTCACATTTTTTCCCCAAGATTATGCTCTTGCTCTTTTAAGCCTTTAATAGGAAGACATGTCTCCAAAGCAGTGCATAAGAGAGCTACAATGGTAGCTTTGCAGTGGCTGGTGCTAATGAGCCAGTTTTGTGCTGCGTTTGTGGAACAAGCAGATATATTTACCTACTCACCCTGTGCAGTTCCAAAAAGCATGCAATAAGAAACAGTCTGCTTGATTTTACTATGTAGCCCATTACTAACAGATTTCAATACTGCACCATCTGGTAGACTGAGAACATGATCAGCAAGTTATAGATTTAAAAATATATGTATATACACACACTAATTCTTAAGTTCGTCACAACAGTTATGAAAGTTCAAGTTTCTAGAAAAACAAGAGTTTAAAACCTCCATACTGGTTTCAAGAGAATCAAGAATTGCGTGTGTGTGTTTTAAACCTCCACAACTCTTCCTCAGATGTCTCATGGCTTTATAGTGTGAAAGCCTAGAAGGGACAGCATAGTTTGTATTTTAACACACTACCTGAAACCACTGATTTACAGTTATGATACAGCCTTTCCCTTTTCACTAACCACTCTTTTGTAGGTGTTTCTAACTATAGTAAAACTTAGGTTGAAGATGACATTGGGGAGGACTGCCATTAGAAATAATTTAAGAACCACATTTGTTGAAGGAAACAGCCCATTCTTAGTTCTTTGATATTTGTAGTGCCATTCAAAAACATGTTTCTATGCCTAACGATAAAGTACTCCAGAAAATTTCATTTTTACCAGTTGCGTTTGCCCAGACAGAGCTACTGAAGTCACAAAGACAGGGTATCTCGTTCCATTCCACCCTGCTTAAAGCTCACAAGAAAAAGCACATGTGTAGCCCTGTGCAGGTTCTAGGCAAAGCAAATCCCAGAGAGTCTTCTGCCTTTTCTTTCTGCCCTATTCCACTCAGTCCCCTTCCTACCACTGCCAAGGGAAAACAAAATAAAAAACAGGCTACAACTGAAACACCCAAGAGAAACCTACTATATTGGTAACATTTTTAGCCAGGTAACCTGTTTCAGTGTTGCCTTTGGAAAGGCAGACAACTCGTTTGCTCACTCCCATGCAGCAGAGAACAGGAGGGGGAGGAAGGCAAAATAGAAGTATCTTCATAACTCAGAAGCCACACACAGAATGTTCTGTGAAACTACACAAACAAACTTACCTGGAAAACATGCCTCTAGAAGACCTTCTGAATATACCTGGTGGTACTAGATTATCTCATCCCACAGCTCTAAGACACCTTGACATGGATCGAGTGTGGAAACAGTAAAGGGTTCTGGCTTTGTCAGAGTGTCATAGTCAGTCAAGGCTAATGCAGGTGCTAGTCATTATAGCTATAACACTTGCATTGTTTGCAGCCGCCTTCTCCCTCCTCCCCCATTTTCAGGTGCACCTGATAAATCAGGACAAAACAGCTCCGCAGTTTAGCCACATGTGTAATAATTTTGACTAAGAATTGCTTGTCCTGACCTAACAATTACAGCATTTTCTAGAGAACTTTTATGGATGGATTGTTCCAGAAGTCTGAAAACACTGTAAAATACAGTTAAGATGGCTTTAGACTTCAAGTCCTATCAGTACCCATGTGTGTAATCTTCAAAAAACAACTTAACCTGATAGTATGAAAGCCTTTCAAATAGTATTCCCCATAGGGCAGTGATCCATAACCTAACAAAAAAGGCTGGACAAACAGTCTAACTACACTTGACCTGAACAGGCTCACATTTAACAGTGGTGGTGACAAAGTGGGGGTGGGGACAGAACCAAAATCAGACAAAAGAAAAAAAAAAAAACACAAAAAAACAAACAAAAAGCCTCCGCACACAAACAGAGCACATGAAGTCATGGACTACCTAAAGGTAGATCAATACCTGTAGAGCTGACCTTATCACCTTCACTTTCCTAGTATATTGCAAAAGCAGTCATAAACTCAGAAGTAAGCAACTTACACCATATCCTAAGCTTATCATCAGCAGTAACAAGCCTGATTTTACAGGGTATAAGCAAGATGAGCAGTAAAACCAATGGTGGCCCCCATGCTCTCTTCTCCCTCTTGTTTAAATAGCATACTGTCTTAAGCAACTGCTTTTTCCTTACTTCTGTACAATGTCAGAAATAGGACTGGCTGTAGACAACATAAGAAAAATGCGTGTCCACATCTAAAAGCATAAAACCTCACCAACAATAATGCCACACACTGCACATGGAAGGCTAAAATCCCCTCATGAGACTGACATTGGAGGCAAGGTAATTTTGTTCCACTTCAAAGAAAATCAGCTTATTGATAATTGTCAACTAAAAATAAAACCTGCCAATTAACCTAAAAGTATTATTAAAGTAATAGGGCCCATCTTAAGTACTCATTTATATGACATAAAAAAGGATTTGATGTACCTTCTCTTAACTAAATGCAGCGTATAAAATCAGAATGGAAATATATTCCACAGCAGATTTACATCTGTAGTAGTTAAATTCTTTCACAATTGCCTCTTCCCTAATACACTGCATTTAGAAACATCAATAGATCTAGCCAGAGAAAAAAAACACACAGGCATGCTGCCCCAGCATTCAGGTTTAGATATTCCTCACCACTCTCATACCCCTGGCATAAAGAATACTATCCCCCTCCTCCCCCATCTCAATTTTTTAGTACACAAACAAGTCAGAAGAATATTTAAGACATTTCTAAATACTCATGATCAAAAACCTTCCATGAACATAATGCAGAATATCCTGTATCACAGAGTCATTCAAGATCACCTCTTCAAGGGAGGCTCATTTAAATGCAGGAGTTGAAGCAACCTCCAGTGTCAGACTGTAGTGTCCAATATCATTTTACATGCTACCAATGGCTTGATTTCACAGACAAATAGAACGAAGACACCCCTTCATTCTCAGGGTTCTTAAAAGAATAAAAGACAGAACACCCTTTTCTATGCAACTGTAACACAGAAATTCATCTTGAAGATTTTGACTGTGATTTCTTGTCCATTATTAATGAAAAAAACAGCTCAAGATCAAAAGATAATGTTCTATTGTAAAGGAGATTTCCTTCTCCTTCCTACTCTGCTTTTTGTCTCAACTATACATTAGCCTCAGTGATACCATGCAGAAAACTGATAAGCAGACAATGCAAACTTCCAAGTTATTAAACCCAAAGCCAGGATGAACACGGGTTTCAAATGAAGAATTAAAAAAAAAAAAAAAAATTAGCCAAAGCAAACCCAAATCTCACACAACTTATATGCAAAATAAAAGCAGACTGAAAACAGCATGCTGTCATGAGGAAAGGGACTTCAGCAAGGCTGAATACTGGGTTTATTCTGCCTGCCTTCACTTCTTTTACCCCTCCCTCTCCCAGTCTCTGTCTTCAGATCACAGCAACAAATCCACTGGTATTAATTAAAAATAAAGTAAATAAATAAGAAAGTAAAAGAGTTGACAAATTCTGAACAAGTCAAACAGCTCATTACAACTGCAAACAGTAATTAAATTACTGTATGCTTTCATGCAGTCTAGTTCAAGCACAAATAAAAATAATCCAGAACACACACACTAAAAAACAAAACCAAAAAATACCCACAAGAAAACCCCAACCCACTGTTTTGCCTGCTTCCTCTAAACCCAAGCTCTTATGCTGGGGCTTTCACCCAGATACTATTTTGAAGCTATGCTGTATTTATAATTAGAACATACACATCTGTGTCTCATGCATAGCGGCTCATTATAAGCCAGAAACATTTCACGAGAAAATATTTATTTTTACAATAGCGATGACAGAACCTTAAGCTTACTTTAAGTGTCCGTTTTAACTGCATAAGAGATACTGTATAGCTACACATTACTGCCTCTCACACTTCCAGATTTGCTTGTTTTCCCTTGTTATTCCAGAAAGAATCCAACATAAAATTTTCTGTTAACTTTAAGAGATTTAAAGGCAGAATCATTCTTTTTTTGGTTTGTTTTGTTGGTTTTTTTTTTCCTTAACAGGTTAAAGAGGAAGGCGACACTGCCTGAACCAGAGACTGGTTTAAAACTGTGTTCACCGGATGAGCTGGCAAAGTGGGAAGCTTCTCTTTTAAAAGAAAACCTCACTGTGCTAAAGAGTAGGAGCAGAAACGACAAACAGAACCAACTTCAGAACCAAACAAAGAGGACTCTGGGAATTATGTCAACCTCAGACAGCATCCCCAACCATATTCAGCACGGTTTTACCCCAGAATCGCTATCACCTCCAGAGGTATGCGACCTCAGGGGGCGGGAGGGAGGAATAAATAAATAATTTTTTTTAAGTCGCATCTCCAGCCCTCCAAAGCGGAATTTCATTGCAGTTGCAAGGCAGAAATGGGTAAGACACATGGAAATCAACCTTTTATTTGCAGTATTCCTTATCCCTTTCGTTATTACCAGAGACAAGAGAAGTCACCTCTGAAACTTACCGAGGCTACAGGATGATCAGGAGGAAAATGCAGATGGCAGGGTGTTTGGAACCGCCTCGCTATCAGATAAACCCAGATGAATGGCAGACGGGGCCATTCTAGCCCAGGTATTTCCCGCACCCACCCGCTCTGCTCCGGGCGCGCAGGCGAGGGTCAGACGGCTCCGAACACAAATCCATAGCGACCCCAAGTCTCTCACTGCTCCGGGAGGAACCTCCACCCAAACTCACCCTACCGAGATACGCATCACACAGCGATGCGAGAAGCCTTCAGCTTAACACACCAGTCTCCCGCCGCTGCCTCAGGAATCCCTTTCTAACTACACTCAGCGCTAAAGTTACAATGGTTAGAAAGAGGTAAAGGCATTTACACACTGCCCTGGGAATCCCCTCATCCCCAGCCCTGCGAGTACTCAATACACACAACCCGTCTGCGCTCCTTTTCCTCCTCCCCTCAGGGAGACACATCCATAGCGGGGAGGGGGACGAGAGGGCGAGGAGAGCCGCCCCTCAGGGCCAGCCCCAAGCTGCTCCCTTCCCCGGCAAGGGGCACACCTCCCTCCCGTATCTCAGTCCCACCCCAGCGCTGGGAGCAGGGGAACAAGAGCTACAACTCTCCTCCCTCCACTCGTTACTCCCTCCCTCCAAACCCCACTCACCTGGGAAAGGAGCCAAAGCTCAGCTACGTCTCCTTCTCCCCGTCTCCCCCACGCTCAACCTCACGCCGCCATTTTCCTCGCTGCCTGGATTTAAATAGGAACCAGCCTGCCCGAGAGCGGCCGCCGGGCGGCGCGAAGCACTCTGGGACCTGTAGTGCGGCTCCGCGCGGGGCATCTCGGGACCTGTAGTGCCCAGCGCCACCGCTCCCACTGGTCCCCGCGGCAGCGGCGCGGCCCCGCCCGGCCCGGTGGCGGGAGCCGGCGGGGATGGGCAGGAGCGTGTCCGCCCGTACCGTTGCTGCCGCCCGCCGGTGCAGTCCCCACCCGGCAAGCAAGGCAGCCGCCGGCCGTGCTTGATGCTCGGTAAGTAGCGGTTTATGTGCATGAAGGATTAAAGTGCAATAGAGTATCAGCCCTGCGCTGCACTCCACCACAACTTAGAGGTGTAAGCCACAGCTTCACCAAGCACCACTTCTTTCCCTTTCAATGAAGAAAAAACCTAGTCTAGTAAAGAGAATGTTTAACAAAATGCAAACGGGTTACAATAAAAGTTTAAAAGCACATAAACAGCTTCTGTTACTCTCTACCTCAGGTGTGGGTTTTCAAATGAACATGTAAAAATGGTTCACTTGCTGTCTGTGAAAGCGAGGACATGAAGGGCTGCAGACTTGCAATATGGAACCTGCCCATGGCACCGGTTGCTTGCAGAAATACTATTTTCATAAACACTTCTAGAACTAGTATTTAAAACTTTGCAGACTAAGGCTGGGTGGAGACCACACCATACTTCAGGTTGTGAGTCATAAAGCAGCCTTATAAAAATGCTTTTCTTACTTTAAACGTGTGAAATAATGAAAGTGCATGGACTGAAGTCCTGCCAAGATATTCGTACAGAGCTCATTCTAGATGGACAGACAAGTAAAGCCATTAAGTAGACCTTCCAGCAATTCCCAAATAAAAAGATATGTCAAACTAGTGCTGGGCACTCATGAGCAAGTTACTGGCACAATATGAGTCTTCAGCTATCTCTGAAGTGAACATTACAAACCATAAAATCCAGAGAAAATTAACATATGTCAAGTTCTGGGGAAAAAAAAAAAAACAAGTTCCACAATATTTACCTTGCAGTTATGCCACACAAGAACTCACTGATTAAAAATGCCCGTACTTACAAACTCGGATTTAGCCAGCTAGTAGAGACAGATTCCTCACGTTACCACAGCAGAAAAAGGGTTCCTGTTGTCAGAGTACCTTAACAGGTGTGATGGCCTGTTCCTCACAGCATGCGATCTGCTGTTTAATGGTTCCACTTCCTCCATTCCAGGTGGTTGGTTTTTTGCAGATTGTTCTCTTCTATTATGAATTAGAGCATTTATGAGGGCAGAAACAAAGGAAGCATGCAGGGAGGAAGAGGTTCATGAGGAGCAGCAGCAACCCTGGAGATTAGTTACAGTGGAGTTTTTTTTCCTTTTGGCAAACTGCATATTATCCATATTTCTTACATTTAGGCCACAAAGTCCTTAAATTACACTTACATCGCATACCTTAGACTCAAGACTAATACAGAACTTCTAGTGTCAATAGAGAACAAATACTGAGCATCTATTGACCCCTTTTTAACCTTTAGTTCCTGTTCTAGGGATTATAAATAGATAACTTCAAAATTAGTTCTGATTTAATCACTATATCCTTCATTACATAAAGTGCTTTCACTTTTCATTGATATGTGATGCTTGACAAAAATTAACCCACAAATAATAGTAAATGTAGCTGTAGAACTGTAGTGTTTAACAGTTGTGTCTATTTGCTCCACCTGCTGGTGCATATTCCTTTTAAAGCAGGCTTTAGAAGCGCACATGTATTAAAAATTTGGTCAAAGATGTACATGAGACATTCTTGACCATAAGCTGAATTTGTGAGACATACCAATTAAATCCAATCTGATTCCAACATTTTCTCAGTCAAAAAAAAAGCCAGTGGAAGCCCAGATGTATGGAAACGTAACCCACAGCTCACCTCTCAGATGCTGTCATTCAGTTTTATTGTGACAGTAACACAGACAGTCACCATTTTCCACCATCTATTCTACTACAAGAAGTGTTCTCACTCACATGGGCATCTCTTATTTTAAATGTGTGAAATGTGCCCATGGCCAGTAAATTCATAAACTCAGTTCCAGCTACTGAGGTTTAAAGCTAAGCATCTAAAATTTCATAGTTCACAACATCAGTGGTTTTCCACCCATTTCTGTAACTGCTAGACATTTTTTTGTGGTAGAAGTCAACACTGAGATGGATTAAGAAAGGCAGTACATACATGCTTTCAGTTAAGTAGATGCAGCAGCCCATTTTAACATTAAGAAACAAATGCAGATAAAACATTGCCTTCTCTATCCCAATTCATCTATCAACAAAATGGTGAAACTAATTAATATTTTAGAGTTACTTCGCATTCAACAAGCCTGAGCATTTAGAAATTCTGGCATTTTTCAGAACTTGCTGGAAACTCCAGCTCCCAGACAACATCCTGCATTCTTAGAACCTACCCTGAATGATTTCAGTTTTCAGTGGACTTGAACAGGAGCAGGCAAGAGCAACACTACCGTCCACATTGCTGTGCCACCCTACAACCTCGACTCTATTCCATTTCTTGTGGCCAAATCAAAACCTCAGTAAGAAGAGAATGTAAAACGTACCAGCTAAAGAAGGTTTCTTGTTACTGTGCTTTTAAAACCAAGACAACTTGTTCATTCCTGCAGATCTGTAACAAGCTGTTCTGCACTCCCTAAAAGATGCCCTTCCTTCTATCTCTAAAATAATATTTAGGAGATAAAACAACTCTTATATACCCAGTAGGAGGGAAGGAAGGTTAAAAGTAAAAGGATCTAATTTTGGTTTCTCAACAAAGCAGATGCTTAGTAATATTCTATATTTTGATGTGCACATGCCTAGTTGCAAAGACCTCTGGCATATGAGTTCAGGTTAAAATTAGATTGTGACAAGATACAACATACAGTTGATTTACAGAAATTAAACCCTTAACTATTAAAAGAGCTTAATAGGATCATTCATTAAAATATTACATCATTAGGGAACACGCCTCAACATCTGTGCTGACAGATTTTATGCAGCTTCAGCAAAGGCTTGAAAACTGAAACAGGAAGAAGCATTCAATGAGACTGTTACTGTATGTGACATTCCTTATATTGAAAGAGGTAAGAAACACAATCAGCTTAGTTTGGAAAACACTGACAAAGCAATATTTAAACAAATAATAACTTTAAAAATCTCAACAACACAATGAAAAAATCCACAAAACAAACCTCACTAAACACAACCCTACCACGCTGCAGTATCTAACCTAGAGGTCAAGTGCGGCTTTCTGACCTGTTTCTCCCATGGCACTTAGGCTCTGTGTTTGTAAGAGTTTTGAAGACCCTCTGTGGCATAAACATGACTTTGCAATACTCTCATTACCCCTGGCTTAGGTTTGGCTTTAATTAGCATTTCTTTGGCTAAGCACCTATGTATGAGAAATCTAGTGTGCCTTTTTTTGTTTTTTGATTTCGTAACAAGATGCCTGGATTGACCTCAGGTCTTGCTGTGACATGAGGGTTTGGAACTGGTTAAAGTATTTGGTTAAAGAAAACTAATTTCGAAGACATACATTATTAACAATGCTTCCAAAAGCTGCAGTTCAAAGAAGTTGCCAAGCACTTGGGAATTCCTAGCTGATGACGTCTGTCTCATACCTTCCCTATAAAATGGTGTTTAACATGTGGAACAATCTCCGACTGTGGCAGGCTTTCTTCCTAACCAAGGAACAAACCAACAAATGTTAATTTAAACAGTGTAAATGGATTTTAAAAAGTAATTGCAGAGACAAGCTCAGAATCATCTTAGTCTTGTAAATTTAAAAGTTTCTTAAAATACCTCTGAGCAAGTACTCATTTTCACCCAAGTTCTACTTGTCTGACTTCTCATTCCCACTCAGCCAGAAAGAAAAAAATATGACATTAAAAGAAAACCAAATTGTCTTCATCATCTCATTTAACCACCACTTGGCATTTCAGATTTCACACTCTAATAGCAAGCCAATGAAAAACAGAAACTTAAGAATCAGTGTCCGAATTCGGTTTACTTCCAAAAGCATATACATTTGTGGGTTTTTTGTTAATTCATTAGTTTTTACACCAACCTGCTCATTTTTCCTTGTAAACTCATCTTTATATCTGTAAAGTAATTACCCTGTGAGACTTGCAAGAACATTGGTTTAAATAAATTAAAAACAGACTTTTTGTTACAGTTTCCTGAAACATCTTCATAATAAGAAGCCTAGAATTAATTTCATGCACTTGGTGTTACTGTAAGTATGTATCCAAATATATTATATATGGACAGTGATTTTCAATTTAAGAAAAAACCCAACTGTCATGTTGTAAGAAAATTCTTACATCAAGTACATGTGCATGGAACACAATAGTAGCTATCCATATGCTTGCGTTGTTTTTGTATTTCTAAAATCAGAATTTAAATAAACTCTCCCTGAAAAAAAAACCCAAACCACCAAAAAACCCTCAAGTGTCTTTCAAATAGCCATCATGCTATTATGCATGTTATGCAATAAGAATATTTAACAGTGTAATCAGTTTATTGAAGTGGCAATATTAGGAAAGTATTTTCTGATAATACTGAAAGAAAAAGATCTCTAGAGTTCAAACTTGACTATTTTACATGCCTAGAATTGGATACTGGCACCTAAACCACTATGTGGATTCACTTTTAAAAGCTTGTAGACATATATGTGCACAAATTGAAATCTACAGGGACTGTAAGCTCATAGGTGCAGTACACATCAAAGAAAAGTGTCTTGTGTGCAGCATGCTGAGAAATACTTGAAGGCTAAGCAAATTTCACCCAAACTGCACAAAAGATTATACTTCTATCTAACAAGGCATTCCTTATTATGTAAGTTGATAAAAAGTAAGTGCAAGTGTATTCCAGTTCCATGTGAGAAGTTTATAGGCTTATGTGAATTGGTGTAATATTCCTACAACCTATTTGACCAGAGAAAAGTTATGGCAAGCAAGAAAGTGAGTTCAATTAAACTTATCCAATATTGAGATACCAGCCTCAGATCTATGGGTTACTTAGAAAAATACCATTAATCTTTTCATAATATGATCATATTAATATTAAAATCTTATCCAGACAAAGTGTTCACATAAGAAGCAAATTAATACCATCATCGACATAAAACTTTTGTAAGACTCCACTTGAGTACTGTGTGCAGTTCTGATGTCCTCAACATAAGAGGGACATGGAGCTGTTGGAGCAAATCCAGAGGAGGGCCACGATGATGATGAGGGGCTGGAGCATCTCCCATATGAATACAGACTGAGAATATTTGGGCTGTTCAGCCTGGAGAAGAGAAGCTAATGTGGAGACCTCATAGCAGCCTTCCAGTATCTGAAGGGGGCCTACAAGGATGCTGGAGGGCAACTCTTCATCAGGGACTGTAGCAATAGGAGAAGGGGTGATGGGCTTAAACTTAAACAGGGAAAGTTCAGGTTACATATAAGGAAGAAGTTCTTTACTGTGAGGGTGGTGAGGCAGTGGAACAGGTTGTCCAAAGAATCGATGAATGCTCCGTTCCTGGCAGCAGCTCAAGGCCAGGCTGGACAGAGCCTTGGATGGCATGGTCTAGTGTGAGGCGTCCCTGCCCATGGCAAGGGCATTGGAACGAGATGATCTTAAGGTCTTTCTAACCAAAATCATTTTGTGATTCTGTGAAAACCCTTGAGTCAGTCTAAAGGAAATTATTATCTACAGGTTTTTCTTTCTTAAGAAAGAAAAAAGGTTATGCTTGGTGAAACATTCTTTCCAATATGGTTTGAGTACCTCCCTTGAACATCTTCTGAATAGACTCAGAAGTTTAAAACATTAATTATAAACTTAAGGGGGGGGAACAAGCAGTTGAGGAAAAAATTTCTGGCACATCTAACTACAAGCATGAAACTGGCTCTTTAGAAATAGTTAGAAGTTTTGGCTTTTATTTCAAAAGGACTAAGATTATATTATAAATTATTCAGCTACTTTCCTTCCCCCCATCCCTGCCGAATACAAGACAGTACAATCCAGTGCAAAAACCAACAGGCAGTCTAGTATTTTTCCTAAGGCACATGGTTTGCATCTTTACTGAAGATTAGTCTCACCTTCATACTGAAAGATTAGTGATGTCCTGTCAGAATTTGTCCTCTTTCTAAACCTGCAATTTTTAAAGAGAAAACAGGTATGGAACATGTTTCCTTTTTTACCAGGCTACTTCAGATATAACTGTTATTCCATGTAAGATGAAGAAAGAAAAAATTATTGGGAAGGGAAGAGAAGGGGAGACAGACAGGCACGGTAAAATCTTTTTGGTACAGCATTCTCATTTTCTAAAAACAAACAAATAGACTTAAAAAAATAAACTTAGATTTACACAGCCTTCTGCAGCATCTGTAATGCAAATATTACAGAAATGTAATAACTTCCGATCACTGAACCAGAAGTTCATGCCAATTCAGCTGTTGTGAATCTTGGAGATGCCTACCAAGGTACCTCAGAGATGACCATGTCATAAATGTAGAGTTATCAACAAACTTATTTAAAAAAATATAACCTGATAGTGTCCATTAAAATAATAAGACATCCAAGTAACAGCTCTGTGGTGTCAATTTTTTAAGTCAACAGTCTTCCATCATACTGGTTTTGATTTTCTTGTTCTTGGTGATGCTCCGTCTTCTGGTTTTGCTGCTCCGCTGGCAAAGTTCGCTGTAATTTTAATTTAAAGTACAGTAAACAAACTCAATTTTGCTTCACATGAAAAGATAAAGAAACTAGACCAGGGAAATAAAATACATTAAACAAGTGTATAGACACATTATCTGAATTCTCATCTTAAGAACTGCAGGACAAGAGGTGTCTACCTTCAAGTAGACTACAGAAATAACTTGCAGCTTTGACTGCAACCAAAGTAGAACCCAAGCTTCAGTGGAACCCAAGCTCTTCTTCAGAGTATCTCTACAAGTGTGAATACTTTTGCAATTACAAATAAGATTAACTGATAAACAATGTACAACATCTTTCCACATATGCTGCCAGAGCTGTAACACCTGTGCAATTCTTTGGTTTGCTCAATGAAATCAAAATACAGTAAAACTTCTGCTATTCCAAAGCATAAACTGTCTTGGGAGCTTAATTGCAATGAAGTTATTTATCTGCAAAGAAGAGAAGAATCTTAAAGATTCTTCTGGAGGAAGAAAAGAAAAAAGAAATTCTCTGCAGGTACAGTCAGAACAGAAAGGCTGCTCTGGAATGATAAAGAAAACCCATGTTATGAGCACCACTATGGCCTAGAATCTACCAACTGGTTTCAGCTAATGCTGACTCAGCTAGTAATCTCAGAATGCAAAGAGCTTCAAGGCCTCTTAGTAGAAACTATTATATAAAGATCAACTTCACAGAGAGCCAGCCTGTGGTAAAATTCTCAAGAAATCGCATTTTTCAAAGCTCTACCCAAATCTCAGAAGTTATTCCCAATTCTTCATACATAATGCTATCCAGAGCTTTATATATATATATATATATATATATGCTAACAAGAATATGCAATTTCACTCTACCAAGTCTTCACAAGTCCCATTTAACTAATTTAATTGATATAACATTGGAATTCAGAAATTATACAACATCATTCAATTAAAAGCCTTTCTCCATTAGTTCTCCTTTGCCAGACATTATGATGTTCCTTTTCAGGGGTTTGATGTTCTTTATATGACGTGTCTTTATACAGCAGAACTAACTTTATTTTAATGGGCTGAAACATAATAGAAGTAGAATTTATAAAATACAGAAGTGATTTCAGGTACTTTTTTTTCCCCCCAGTGTTAAATCCAAAAAAATATTAGTGGCATTGGAAAAAACTTATTTAAAATGGAAAGAAAACCCTGGAATAATTTAGGCCAGTTTCATGAAATACTCCTTGCATTTTGATTAACAGAGAGTTCAGTGAATAAACCTGAAAGGTACCCTGGCCTAACAATACAACTAGCACTGTGCGCTGTCCTCTTAGCAATAGGGAATTTGAGAAGATGTCCTAACATTTGAAGAGACTATAATATTACCTATATTACCTGCATGTCAAAAGACAGATATTTTCCTGTTTTATAGAAAGGAAAGATGTAAGTGATACATTTGGTATAAAAACATTTGGCCTAGAAGTCATTTAAAAAATCTACACCACTGACCTTTGCCTGGTTCCTTTTTTGTTCGTTTCTTCTTTGGGTTATTTGTTTTTTTCTCTGGAATCTGGTTCTTAACAAGCTCCCTCCATTTCTTCAGCTGAAAATGTACAAATTTCCGCATCATCCAGGCCTGTGTTAGACAAACAGCACCCAGGCAGCCAATCCTAGTAAGATTTGATATTTTGGAGACACTTAGATGAAAGTTTCAGTTAACCATTAACAAACTATGAGTCTGTACTTATTTTATTTTTTTCTCCAACAGGCTAATATAAAAACAATGAAAATCTTCATACCACAAGAAACCAGACCTATCAGAAGGTTTTGCCCAAGACAAGACGCAGCACACAAGAAGTGAAGGGGAATTGTATGCAAGCATATGACTAGAAGCAATTGGATTTGTCAAGGAGCTACAGCCATAGGTTTCATTGGCTGACAGGAAATTGTGGCATTGAGGCCCCTTCTGCCAAGCAATCTATGAATGAGAAATCACATAGATTCAAAATTCCTCCCACTCCTTTGATTACAGGCATTAAGTTATAAGAGAGAATGTTGAAGTGATGAGCTTATGCTGAAAATGTAATAAAATTTTTAAATTAACAAGCAAGAAGAAAATATGCACAAAAAATTTTTAGGAAGGCACTAAACAAATAACTAGTTAAAAAATTATGGGTATTAATATCACCAAATGATACTATGTCCAGTACAGACATTGGGATGGGAAGGGTGGGGGGGATTGTTTAAAGAGATTATTATCCCAGGAAGTTTATTTTTAATTGTTTTTCATTTCCCTCCCTCTCTCCCTCCCCCACAAAAATTCTGTTCTACTTCTTTTGTGAAAAGGAGATAGAAAAAGAGAACAAAATTCCCCATCCCTTAAACACTCAAGAGGAAAACATCACCCAGGGAAATTATTCCAACACATTATCCTCCTATATTGCTTTATGAAAAGATTCTTTGAAATGCACCATTATACACACATGAATGTCTACTAGCCTTGGTATACCTCACAGGGAGTGTATTGAAGTTTCCATCTGCTATGGAAAAACCTGGATTCTCTGCTCTTGCCAGACCAAATCCAAACGTGAGGACAGATAAAGTTACGGTCAAAATACGCACCATTATGAAAAGTAAAGCCCAAATGATAAATCTGAAACAAAACAATGAAATTAATGTGATTTCTCCATGTAATTTACATACATGTAAATCCATTTGTACACAATTAGTAAGCAAAGTTCTGAATTTAAATTAATCATATGCAAGATTTACCCTTTTTGCATGTTTTCATCAGGGAAGTAGAAGAGACGCAAGGCATGAAAAATGAATTCCACAAAATAGTGAGGTACCACCAGAATTAGCCCCAAATGCTGCAAACTATAAAACAGAAAAGTTAGAAATTTCAATGAAATTATGAAAATAATAGATCTGTCTATTCATAATAAACATGCAAATACTTACTTTAATATATAGGCACCAGAGATATGAGTAATGTAAAGGCAAATATAACATAGCTGCCTTGGAATATCTTCCTAAAATTGGAGAAATTATAATAAATACTGTTACAGTTTAACTGTATTTTCCAAAGAAAAAAATCTATTTATTCATTAGTTTTGGTTATTTTTTTCACAGTGCTATATAAACTTCTGGAAGAAGTATCTGAATCAAAAACTACAGACCCCCTAGACTAAATATACATAAGTAACTGAAAACACAAATCACAGAATGGTTTGGGTTGGAAGGGGCCTTAAAGCTTATCTAGTTCCACACCCCTGCCATGGATATGGACACCTTCCGCTAGACCAGGTTGCTCCAAGCCCTGCCCAACCAGGCCTTAAACACTGCCAGGGATGGGGCAACTTCTGCCTGTACCTCAACACCCTTGCGGTAAAAATACAAATATGTGGATGTTTATATAGTTAATATAAACAAAAGTATTAATACAAATAATTGGAAAGAATCGATATTTAGTTAACTGTACTGACAACTTCTCTCCATACCTTTTGGACCTTTTGGAAGTATAGCTCCGGCAGTGCATGAAGCCAATAGGCTATCTGGCATATATAGAAGAATTTTTCCTGAAAACTAAGCAATAATTCAGGTTAAGAAAACACAAGAGGATGAGTTTTCAAGCTTTCAACATGAGACACAAGATTTTATTTTATTATCTTAGATTAATTCAGTCTGACTCATTACAGTTTATGATTTCTAAATCACAGTAACCACAAATACAAAACAACTCTGGTGGCAGTTTTTTGAATCAGCATCCATTAACCTTCTTGATAGCACATTCTGAATCACCTTTTGAGACAGTAGGAAGGAAAAAAAAAAAAAAATCACCAAAACATCTAACACACAGAAACAGTTAATCAATTGAGGAGTGGAACTCCCTAAAAATGCGTATTAGCCCCCTTCCCTCCATCAGACTAACTGGAGAAAAACAGAACTGGGGGGGGGGGCAGACAAACAACACAGTTTTGTAAGTCATGTTACATAAAAATAAATACCCCCCCAGCTATAAATCCTCTCTAATTTGAAGATCCATTCTCCAACAAATACATTTCTTAGCGTGAAACATTTCAGCAGTCCTGTTGTATATCCCATCTTGCAAACACCTTCACTTTAACTGAGCTACCATGGTTAAGTTAAAGAAAGTTGAGAACACATGTTAAGTATCTCTTGGATTGATGTGCAGTTCATTAAAAATTACCTGTGGATAAAACAGCAATTTTTAAGCAGAACAAAGTACCTTCACCAAGTTGTCATTCTTATGCCTTATGTCATAAGAATGACATAATATCAGTCACTGCCTTATTAGTGGTTCCCTAAAATTTGGGGTGGTTAAATATTCAGTGATTGGAATAACCACAGTTTTTTCAAATTTAAAATAGAACACTTACAGCATACGAGAAAAGGGATAATCTTTCCAGAACGAGGTTAGGTTCATTGCGAATTCTTCCTAAAGAAAAGGGTCATTGATTTAAAGACCTTCTTAATATTTTAAGCCTATTTTTTAAGTAAAATCAGCAAATAGAGCAACTTACTGCATTCAAAATACTTGCTCCCCATATAAATGAAAACAAGTAGAACAATGCAAGCTGTCCTGATTCGTTGAATTTGGTCTTCTCCTGTTCTGACAGCTGCAGATACCTATTAATTTTCTAGAAACAAAAAGCAGATCAATAAATGTATTTCCAAACCACAAAAGGTATTTTGGAGTTAGTGTTCACTCCCGATTCCTCATTCTGATCTTCCATTCCTCAATCAAAATACATAGTTCCCACCATTTAAGACTTTGATCAAAACTTTGTATGACAATTAGCTTCAATAAGACTCACCACTGTGGTAAAGTTCACATGGAAAATAGTCAGATAATGTATTAAGACTAATTTTTTTCACCCATAATCAGTTATAGTGCTAAATTTTTGCAATCTCTTTGCACATTTAAAAACCAGCTGAGCTTCTGTGGTACAGATGATCTATTTGATAAGACTTTCTAAGACGATTCAATAATGGATGGTTTTCCCAATGGCTTTAACAAATTCATTTTACTTCGCAACTGAGTTGGTGTGAAAGAGCACACATTGAAGTCTCAGCTCTCTCTTTGAGGCAAAGCTCAGCTGACAACCAGAAATCCATCACTTCAATAATTTTTGGTTTTAATTGTTCTAATATATCTTATGAATCTAATGCAGACCTCATTCACAAGTATCTTGAGCACACCATGAACATTTAATGTCTGTTTTTACAGAAAAATGTAAGTTATATTGACTGAAAGTAAAATTAAGTGGTTTATACCATCAATAAATAGAAGAAATATCAGTTTAAAAATATCACAGTATCATTTAGACTGGAAAAGACCCTTAAGACCGCTGAGTTCAGCCATTAACCTAACACTACCAAACCCAAGTCCACCACTAAACCAAGATCTAGTTTGCATTTTTGTCAAATAACAAAAGGATTGGTCGTAACAGGGCTTCTAAATGCTAAACCATTTGTGTACCATGGCTTACACTTAAACTTGCAGACAAACTCTTAGCAACTGATGGCTAAAAATAACATGATTATAAGTAAATGACAGCCCAGTAATAAACTTACATCTAATATGCACTCCTGGATTACAGCATGCACTTTAATAGCTACAAGCATGTAGAAGCTGATTGTGGCAATGTCTCTTCGACCATAGTCATAAAAATCAAATTGCTCAGTGTTGTCATCTAAAAAAAAAAAAAAAACAACAGAGAAAAAAGAAAAAGTGTGCATTTTTACATTCTTCTGAAGGAGTATCCTGTGCAACCACAAAGGGCAGCAGTGACCAATGTTCTTGGAAGTTGTAACTAGTGCCCTGTATCCATTTAATGTAAGTTTTACATTTTTGAAAATTACTTCCTATGCCCAATTAGTTAACCTGGAACTTCTTTTCCTTCAATACAATGATACCATTATAAAAGCCTAGAACAAACTGAGAGCACTATACACTGACCTGTTGCTTCAATCCATTTCTTCCATTCTGGGCCATTAAAAAAAAAAAGAAAACAACACACCAGTAACCTGTCCTCTCTAATTTGGCAGAGACCAAATGAGATTCCATCTTAAGAAGTAAGACCATATGTAGGAAAAAAGCAACTATATGGTGAGGATGGTATCCCTAGTAGTTCAACACATTGATAAGTAATAACTTCCCCAGAAGTAGTAATAAGTTCTCATAAATCAAGAAGAAAGAGAGGCGGAAGAGAGGCGGAAGAGAGGCGGAAGAGAGGCGGAAGAGAGGCGGAAGAGAGGCGGAAGAGAGGCGGAAGAGAGGCGGAAGAGAGGCGGAAGAGAGGCGGAAGAGAGGCGGAAGAGAGGCGGAAGAGAGGCGGAAGAGAGGCGGAAGAGAGGCGGAAGAGAGGCGGAAGAGAGGCGGAAGAGAGGCGGAAGAGAGGCGGAAGAGAGGCGGAAGAGAGGCGGAAGAGAGGCGGAAGAGAGGCGGAAGAGAGGCGGAAGAGAGGCGGAAGAGAGGCGGAAGAGAGGCGGAAGAGAGGCGGAAGAGAGGCGGAAGAGAGGCGGAAGAGAGGCGGAAGAGAGGCAAATAACATTCACACGTGTTACAAAAATACTTGAGATGTTCCTATTTATTAAGAATGGGAAAACCTACCAGTGAAATTCAATTCAATTTAAAAAGCATGTACCAGGAGCAGTAGATCTAAGAAAGCCGTATTTTGTAGAGGTGTCTGTCCTTTGACCCACAGGGACTCATAGCCACCTCACTTTTCTTTATACACCTGAGACACTGCAGTTGAAAAGAAAGAACTTGGACTAAAACTAATCAAGAGCCATGCTCATCCTGAGTTACAGGCTTGTATGTCTAACATTTCCATCTTTCAGTTTTCCCTTTAGAGGGCATTAATTTAGATGTCTCTTATCTATACAGTCACTTTTCATAAACATCAAGGAATTTTGTTACCTTTACGACCTTTACCCTTGTGAAACTGTTTGCCTTGTCCAAAAGCCAAAGTAGAGAAATACAGACATCAAACAACTTTTTCTTTTTTCTTTAAAGGAAACTCAGTGAGTTGTCAAGGAAGCAATTACTGCTTCCTGTACCGTGAATGATACATTAAGGTCCTAATGCACAGGACATTCATACAACTCTAAGTGTCACATATCCTACTTCTACATTTGAAAGTGGCTTGTGGTATAATCAATGAACAAGTAATTGTATAGCAAATGCTATTGCTGCCTGGTCCCTAGCACTCCTTTTCAAAGTGGATCTTTACTAGCAGTATATTCATTGTTTTCGGAGGGCCCACACTGAGACCTCAAAACTGCTTGTGCAGAACTCCACACCTCCTATTAAAACTAAAGGAGGTTATACATTGTTCATTCCATTGTAGATATATATATACACATATATACGCACATATGTATGCAACAACGTCATGGTTTAAGCCACTTCTTCATAGAAATCACACTGCAGGCATCTTGATAACTGACACATGGATTTGACTTTTGTCTCTGCTATTTTATTTCTACTTGATGCTGCTCAGTAAAACTCACTCTGTCCATCTCAAGTTTTCAACACTAAATATCGTGGGAAACATTTGCAAAATATGACAGATATTCATTCCTGCAAGCAAAGTTGATCAATGAATTATTTTGAGCATACTGAATGCAGTCAGGGTACTACATTATTTGAAGGGGCCACAGCACAGACATCTCAAGTTTGGAAGTCAAGATTAGAACAAAAGTCATATATTTTACTAATTTGGGGGAAAAAATAGCCAGAAATGTCTCCCTTTGTTATTTAAAAGTATGATTGAAGCAACAACATCAGTTACTTGAGAATAATAATGTGATATTTTTTAAATATAAACCACAAAATCCATTACTAATGACACAAGAAATCATGAATAAAGAACAAATATATAGAAGAGTACAAAACTATCGTTACTTGATAACTCTTGTTGATTGTATCAAAAAATGGAAAGAATGCATGGTTTTCATATTAAATTTATATTAAAAATGCATGTCAGTAGCAGTGTTAGCCATGGGAAAAATAACCCACTTATTCACAAACAACAGAATGTATCACAAACACTAGAATGTATCAGTGAATATAGTATTAGTAAATCCAAAATTAGTCAGACAAATATGAGAATAATACTATATTATAAAAGTAAATCGAAGCAATGAAAGGAAAAATAAAGTAATTTTTAATAGTTCAGCTCTTGCATTACAAGAATAAATAGATATGATTTAATCTCACCAATGGTATAGGTGACATTGTACTGCAGAGCAACAAACATGATGGCATTCTTGGGTGGGTCCTGAAATTAAAAAGAGAAGCAGAGAAAAAGTATCAGTGTTTTCAACAAGCTAGACTATAAACATCTAAAACTAGAAGATTATGCCATCAGCTCCATCAAAATGTTCTTCTACATGATTTAAATCAAAGAGGTCCCAAGAGTATTATTCATCTCCACAATATGGAGGCTCATCTTGTTACAAAACCTTTACCATTTACTGCATAGGGTCAGACGTTGAATTATGTCCCTTTACCTGACAACTTATTCTTTTACTAAATAACATTCTAAAGTGTTTATAAGTGTAAATGGCTTTAATATTTTTAAAAAGTTAAAAAACTCTTAAATTAAATCAGATGGAAGGTTTCACCTAACTTTGCAAGATACTAAAAAAGCAATGCTCTGGCTAAGTGTCCCATGAGTAAATAGGTAATTCAAAACATCAGAGTAGAATTACAAGGTTAATCAATTTCTTGAATGATAAATCAAGCATTTTCTAAAAAATAACATTACAATAAAAGTAACCAATGTTATACTTTCATGTTACTTTTTCTCCAATGGCAAAACTAGTAAAAAATTAAAAGCCACCAAAAAAAAAAAAAAAAACCAAAACCAAATATAACACTTTCAGCCATCCCCACCTCTTCAAAATATTTTGCCATTCCCATGCTGCAGTATATTTAGCCCTCATCTGTAGCAATGGAACTGTACATAAAGTGGATTACTGTAAGAAGTAAATGTGTTTGCTTGGTTTAGTTAAAAATTACATTATCTGGTTTGCACAACTTTAAAAACAAACATTTGTGCTGATATAACAGAGTCATAAGCTCTTGCAGGATACAAGTGGAAAATAAAAACAACCAAACAAGAAAACCCACCCCTGGTTCCTTTGCTGCAAAAAAATAAATCAATAAATTAAAAATGCAATACATCCTACACTGTCAATAACAAATGCATTTATTATGTTTGTAAGCACTCAGTTATCCAGATCATAAATCAGAGAAGTACAACAGGCATAATCTGAAAACTGGTGTAAAAAAAAAACATTGTTGACAGGTTGGTTTTTTTTGCAGTTTCACTTCAGCTGATCTTCATAGCTGACTTAAAACAGAGAAATAGAAACTGAAACCAGAAAGCTACTTTCGTCAGATGTTACATCATCGGAAAGTGTAATTAAGAACATTCATGAGTATATGAAACAAGCACTAATTTATCCAGCTACAAAGTAAGCAAGAGGCACAACAATGCAGAATAATATATGTAGCAAAAAAAGGGAGGAAAAGGCGAATTGCTTCAGTATACTAGAACACCTGTGAAATTAAGCAGTAGAAGAGTCATAAGACAGAAAAGTTCTTTTAAGGAGCCTTATTAAGGAAAAGGAAAGTACCAATCTTCCTGGCATACAAAATTGACTTTCAGACACTGCAGTTCTATGAGCAATCTAACCTTTTGTAAAAGTCATCACTACCATCAAAAGGCGCAATTCTGCCTTTCTTTTTACTGCCAGTTGCTCCTTGTCTCTGTCCCACATTTATGTGATCAAAAGTAGTGGCATGGTGAATTGGACAGCAAAGTTATACAAGTTAAAATTGACCTAGCAAAACAGGAGAGAGAAAAACCCCTATTAATATTAACACATACATTTCTTAATATGCTGCACGTAAGTTACATATAGTTATTGAGATAACCATAAGTAACTTGTGTTATGCTTTTATTGTTCTTGTTTGAATACATACTATTATACTTCTTATTGTGTAATTTAAACAACTGCATATTCTTTTTGATGCAGAAATCATTTGTTTGATCGAGATACCTCTCTGTTATGGGAGGAACAGGGGTGCTATGTTACAGGTTAGACCTCTGTATTGCAGCTTTGCCTCATTCACTGCAGAAAAGCAGGTGTATAGGAAAGCTGGAGAGGGGCTTTTGACAAGGGCATGTAGGGACAGGACAAAAGAGAATGGCTTTAAACTGACAGAGAATTCCCCCCCCCCCCCCCCCCCGTACCTCAATTATGAACCCCATCACGATGAGTATCGCCAGGAGGTACGCAATATCCTCGAGGTTCTGAACGATGACCTCATGGTTTATCACGGCCGGAGTCCGGTATTTCCTGCGGAACCTCATAGCACTGACAAAACGCACCTCAGCAACCACCACCTCACGCACAGTAAAACACCGCCAGCACAAAGAACCCGCCCCGCTTCCGAGTTCGGGCGAATCAACCTTGAAACTGCTTAGGATTGGCAAGTTCTGGCAACAAATCGTGAAGAGCGGTTTCTAAAGGAGGCGGTGTTTCTGAGGCCGCCGGCTCCCTGCCAATCCCACATGGACTGGGTTGTGCTCCCCTGCCAGGCCGCAGCGGGCCATAGTGGGCGGGGTTTGGCTTGTGGCGGGTTCTGAGCTGAGGGGCTCCCGCCTGCAGCGCCTCAGTGGGGTGCGCGCCTTTGGCTCCCTTCGGTTCAACCCGGTGTGGCCTTTCCGGAGGCCGGGCTCGCCGCAGCTCCGGTGGTGGCTCCGAAAGCCCTGCGAGGCACGTTGGTCGGACTGCTATCCTCTCGAGTCCAAGGGCTGTGGTGGTGGGAAGTGGCCCCTCATCACCCGCCTCTGGAGTTGTGCTGTGCTCCCTCACGTGCGACTAGACAAAGACGTTGAAAAACTGTTTTCTCTCCATTAAAATGAGAGAAAGAAGATTCAGAGTGCTTTGAAATCTTAAAAATATGTACGTTTAGCTATCTAGCTGGAATTTAGGGGGAAAAAACCCCACTAAGTTATCAAAAATCTACTGAAGAGAAGAGCGAAGGCTACAGGGTGGCATAGCATCCAGAGAACAGGGTTGGAAGAGGGAATAAGAATTAGGTCCATCTGGCAGCCGGATGTCTCCCGTGCTGTGCTGACTGGCCTCAGCTGAATATAAGGTCTGCCTATATCCACGCAACAAATAGGACCTGAATTTAGTTCAGCTGTGAAGCAGATTTGCTTCCTATCCATTATTTAAATAGGTGATGCTCACTGAAGCTAATTTTTAGCGTGCCTGAGTTGCTTTGTTACATGTCCTGCTTAGTTGTTAAGTTTTGCTATGCTCTTACTGCTTTTTTCAGCCTCTTTTTTGAGTTTCAGGCTAATATATTCAGAAACTGGACTTGACATTTGAAATGAGGAGTTGCTACAGAGCACAGGTGTTACTTGGGGCATTCATTTGGGAAGCAACTGCCATGCATGTTCTTTTTCTCAGCTGAAAAGAGGAATTAAAACCAAAATACTTGTAACAAGTTGCTTACAAATCATGGGGGTTTTTATTAAAAAGAAACAATATAATTGAAAGTATTTTGTAATTGTTGAGCATAATTGCTGCTTCCTTTTTTCTAAAGCTACAAAAATAATAATGACTGAGAATTAACTGTGATTCAAACCAGTTTCATTTCTTCTTGGGACATATCAGAGACAGGAGCAAGGAATGCTGAGTAGGAATGGGAAACAAGAAACAGGAACTTGGAACTTAATTTTGGAACCCAGAACATACTAATTTCATAGAATCATAGAATAGTTAGGGTTGGAAAGGACCTTAAGATCATCACAAGTTCCAACCCCCCCTGCCATGGGCAGGGACACCTCACACTAAACCAATATCACCCAAGGCCTCATCCAACCTGGTCTTGAACGCTGCCAGGAATGGAGCATTCACAGCCTCTCTGGGCAACCCATTCCAGTGCCTCACCACCCTAACAGGAAAGAATTTCTTCCTTATATCCAATCTAAACTTCCCCTGTTGAAGTTTTAACCCATTAACCCTTGTCCTATCACTACATTCCCTAATGAAGAGTCCCTCCCCAACATCCCTATAGGCCCCCTTCAGATACTGGAAGGCTGCTATGAGGTCTCCACACAGCCTTCTCTTCTCAAGGCTGAACAGCCCCAACTTTCTCAGCCTGTCTTCATATGGGAGGTGCTTTATGCTGTTCTTTTCACTATATTAGAGTAAGCAAGCTCGTCAAGATTTTTATTGCAATATTAAGATGCCTACTGTAAGGCCTTGAAAGATGTTATTTAAGCTCTAAGTCCCAGGTATAAAGACCCAGAGGGTTTTTTATCTCTTTGTTTCCAGTGTTTCTCTGTTATATGTGGGCCCATTTCACTTACAGCCCACTGTGTTATTTCCATTGCCCTATCCTCTTAACAAACAAACTTAGCAAACGCAGCTATTCATATTTTCATGATTGTTTTTTCTGGTAAAAAAAGTAAGCAAAACAAAAAATCCTATGGCCTTTAGTTAAAAAAAAAATATTTCCACTTTTCTATTGTTATTTTATTTATTTAGTCAAGGAATTAAACAAAAAATTAGAAAGTTATGTCCCACCAGCCACCTAGGTTGAAAATAACTGCAATTATTTTCTTTATATAACTGCTTTAATAGTTACTCTGCCATTACTATTTAATAACTGTTACTAACTGCTTTAATAGTTACTGCTGTTAAGTTTTATTGATTTGCTGTTCTTCTATATAGAAAGCAAAATGAAATTAATGTCTTTTACAGAATTGTAGAAATCAATTGGAGATCTGCTTTACCGCACGGAAGTAGCTAAGAATGGCTCCTTTACTTTATACTTCAGTTAAACAAGAAGACCTAATTCAGAATTTGAGTGGATCCAGAGAAGAAAAAAGATCCTGTTATTGTCATGGCGTAAGTAAACCTAGTTTACAAATCACAAGGCAAATTGGCTATATGATTTCTTTTGTGTGTTAAAAGACTATCCAAGGTTGGGATTTTTTATTTATTCTTTTTTTTTTTTGATTTTATTGGGCACTGCTTAAACACAAGATAGCATAGAGACTCTCTAATGGAATTTAGGATTAAGCAAACAAGATAAATTCACTGTGGGGAATAATGGTACCCTGTAAGCCATACAGTGGTATCAAAACACGTTCACAGTGTTCTTTTGGGACTTTGAGATGAGGGAGGAGAAATAACTTAGGAAAGATAAGATGGGAAAACAGAAGAGACGGGGGACCTGTGTAAATCATTGAAGAAGTCAGCCTGGGGTGAATAGCTAAGCGTTTTGCCTGTTCACAGTCTTCCTAAAGCTCACTGAGTTCTAGTTTATGGCACATAAAGGGTTCTACCTTAATTTAAGAAGGATAATGCCAGATATGAAGCAAAACACAGTGTAAGCTATATATATATAGAGAGAAAGTGATTATTAGAGATTAAAATTACAGGAGCCTATTAAGCATTGTCCATTTGGGGAATAAAGGAATTTAAAAAATGAGCTAAGAAGAGAGGTTTTTTGTCACACTATAATTTTTCATATGAAGAAATAGTTTTGGGCTTTCCTTTAGAGTATATTGTCTAGTCATTTTTGCAGACGGGACTGTAGATGACTGATTGATATGTTTCTGCATGGTATTTCTTGCTTCTCTTTCCTCTTCATAAACCACTACTGATAGGCTTCTATTTTGTAAAAATTAAAACTCAGGACTTAGTCTTTGTGTAAATGTGTTCCCAGTTTTACAAAAATGAAACTGTGCAGAAAGGGAATAACATTTGTAGCATCAACTATACAATACTGAATTCTGAAGCTTCTGTGCTGCAGTTTGAGAACCATCTCCCTATTTCTTGATATACTACTATCTCTGAAAAAAAGAAAACTGTGTTAAGAATGTGCAGGGTAAGTCATATAATTGGGACAGGGAGGTAAAGCAAGTGTGGATTTTTGCCTGTGTCATATAATTAATATCAAAAAAACATTCACAAACAGCAGTTGAAATTATTTTACTATAATATGTAATTGGATGATAACTGTAGAGCCTTAAGAAAGGCAGGAAAGGATCAGGTACTGTATTTTAGGTAGTATGTAAGAGTGAAAAGCTGTCTTGCTGTTCTATAAAAAACAAAAGTAGAAATCCAGTTCAATGTCTGCATCTGGTAAGCAATTACTGGCTGTTATGTTGTGCATAATGTGTGCAATTTCTGTGGGGACTGATTGCAACTTTTATTTAGAATCCATTAAGAAAATAAATATTCTACTTACAGAGCAGGTGGAACATCTGCTGCATACGTTAAACCAGCAGTCCATTCTGAAGAGATCATACATTGAATACAAGCCCCTGTATCCATATGGTTTTATGAAACCTTTCCTTTCATTCTGAGACTGGTTCTTCCTCTCAGGCTGAAAATCTGGTATCGTTTTTTTGGTTTGAAGGGTGTCTATTAGGTGATGAACTCTAGTTTGCAAGACTATAATATATTTAACGCTATATTGTCATAGTAATATGTGCTTTTTCTACAGCTTGGATCATGATAATAAACTAGTGACCTCTTTTCAGGCTTTTACGTTTTTAGCCATGTGTGGGGCAGATTTAATTTCAAACAAAACTGTTTTAGGGAAAATTTAAACTAAAAGACCCTCTTAAAACATTTCCATAAAACATTTCACGTTTGCATTTTTATTTTGTAAAAGTATTTGTCATCATTGGTATGTGTCTACCCTCATAATAACCATTTCCTTTTCCTCCCTGATGGGTTAATATAGCAGTAAAACAAACAAAAAATTGCACTTTTTACTTGTTTTCCCAATTTTTAAATGTCTGACTAATAGTGGAAGAATGAGCATAATATCTTCAAATGCAATGTATACACCTGGACACAGAGCAGGTTGAGAGTCTGGAATATTACTGATATGATATATGGAGACTGCACAATGATCCAATAACTGGTATTAATTCATGAATAACTTTCTTTCCTCTACATGTTTCCCTCCCAGAGAAAGTGAATTCTTTATTGTATTACATTCTTGCTGAATAACTAAAAGTGCCACCAAAACATAAATAAGAATGAAAGCACAGGTTAGAACTATTATTTCACTTCATAACTAGAAAAACCCATGAATGTTCCAGGCTTACTTTACCTGAACTTTAAGACTGTATTAGTAGGCAAACAAAAATATATGCTGTTTTGCAGATTACAGAAATGTTCAGGCTGAAAGGGGCCTTAGGGAATCTCTAGGCCAACCTTCTACTCAAATCATGATCCACTTATGAGGTTAGACTAGGTTGCTCGTTACTTTATCCAGTCTTTGAAAAACTCCAATGGAATATGATCTAAAAAAAAAAAAAAAAAAGATGCTAAGCCAGG